CCTGTGGCATGTTATGACTCTACTACCAAACGCATGTGGGGTGGGGGATGGGGGGTATTATATTGGATAGGACCTGCCACAGCCAACGTGCAGCTAACTAATGTCGCTCCTATTTGTTTCAGCAGCACGCAGGGCCAACATCCAACAGGTCACCTTCCAGATGAACTGTGCAACTCTACCCCCAAGGCTGAAAACACCACCTACCCCTGATTCCTCCTGCAGGAACACTCTATGCGTGTGAGACCACTGCTTACCTCTGCCTGCCTGAAACCAGAAGAACTCCCTACAAACCCCTTTGAGAGGAAGAAGCGGATGCTAACTCCTTGGTCATAGTCCCTTTCCAGCAGGAAGTAGCTAAGAGCGATTGTCATCCCGAGGTCGTTGCTTCACAAGGCTAAAAGACACTTATGGGACAAGGGGGGGAGTGTTGGGAGGGCGGGGCTAGGAATAAGGAGGAAACTGGTCTTGCAAGGTGTGTTAGGCCATAAAAACTGTGAACAATGCACTGCCCTGGGAGGGGGGGGTCATTATCGTTGGCCCCAGGACAGATGATCAGATATGGCCTGGGGACCCCCAACACCTGGGGGCCTTCCTGTAAGCCCACAAAAGGGGGCGGAACCATATCTGCAAGACAAAGACCCCAGAAGGTTATAAAAAGTGAAGCCCTCTGCATGTTACTTCACTCTGATTTGGAAATTATCCCCGGAGTCCACTAGTGTTAATAAACGGGGTCCCTCCCTTTCTCTAGGAAGTGTGCTTGGTATTTCTTTGGTCTTCTGCAACAAAGTAAGAAGTTGGATGTATGAAACTTGAGATAGGGGAATAGTTCTGTGATAAAGATATACATTTGAAAGTCAAAAGCATATAGAAAATCAAAAGCATTTAAAGTTCTATGGCAGAATGAGATCACTAATGTAGTGTATGTAAATAGAAAAGAGGTTTGAGAAATAAGCTTTCCAGTATACTGGGGATAAGGAAGAACCAGAAAGGAAAATGAGAGAGAACCACCAGGTTAGTAGGAGGAACATCAGAACAGTGCAAATTAATTACAAGAGGAGATTCAATTAAAGACTTACAGATATTTTTTTACTCTTGGTCACTTCTTTACTTCTTGGGTCTCTCTCTACTATATTAGTAATTTCAAAAGATAAGCAATAAATAAATAAATATTTCCTGGCCAATAGATGTTTGTTAAATTACAATATATATATATATATATATATATACACACACACACACATACATACATATGTGTGCATATATATCAACCAGGAACTGTTAGTCACTTATTGAATGAGCTTAGTAGGTGGAGTGAAATAATGTAAACAAGATAGAAATAGGATAAAGGGGTCCAATTGTATGATGATAGCTGGAAATTAGACTTTTGATAGTGAGCATGATGTAGAACACATAGATATTCAATTATAATGTTGAAAACCTGAAACGTGTATAGTGTTGTAAACAATGTTACTTCAATAAAAAAAATAAATTTTAAAAGAATTAAAAAAATAAATGATGACTCACTGAACACTCAGATGATGGTTAACATTGTTAGCAAAATGTATTTTTAAATTAATGTATGTACACTGTATTTTACACGTAATGTTATTGCACACTTAATAGGTGACAGTGGAGTAAATGTAACATTTATGTGCACCGAGAAACCAAAAAATGTGTGTAACTCGTGTTATTGCGGCATTTGTTTCATTGTGGTGGTCTGGAATGGAACCCACATTATTTGCGACGTGTGCCTATAAAACCTAAA